ATAAAAACAGATATTCCTCAAACCATTTACACTTATTACATGTGAGAGACTGATTTCCCTCCTACTGCTCCATTTTCTTCTTTTTTTAAATGCTGGGGGCAGTTCAGGAAATTAATTTCATGACCCCAACTAATAGGTTACAATTAACAGTTTGAAAGCTTTAATAGATAAGATATGGTAATTCATCTTTCCAAGTAGCAAGGTAAGATAGTAGCTGAAGACTGCCTGGATTCAGACCAGCTCTAACTGTCTGCCTCAGTTTCCTCACAGTGTAAGTGAACAGTATATACTGCATTTTTTTAAATGGTAAAATGTATTTTAAATGTACACTTTAGTACACTCACGTTGTTGTATAACCATCTCTGTTATCTAGTTCAGAACATTTGCATCACTCCAAAAGAAAACCCTGAACTCAATTAAGCAATCACTTCCCACGCTGTGGCAACTACTAATCTGTTTTGTTTTTAGGACCATAGACGTTTTCAATAATAAATTAACACTTGATTGGAACAGTTTTCTAAGGTGACAGGAAGTGTTCTTTGGAGTCATTAGTTCACTCTGCTTGAAATATGGCTCATGAGATAAACTTCTCAAGTAAGTCTGTAAGCCACTTTAGGTAATTCTGTGACATGTTTCAGGGTTAGAAGACCCTCTCTCGTTAGGTAGTCATGCTAGGTTACAGACCAGTCTTCTGAGAATTCTGTTAGGCTAGGATCACCAAAGTCTGGCCAAGGCTATGCAAGAAATCACTCTCTGTGTCTGCAAGAGTAGAATGAGCAAGGCCCTAAGAGGATGTTTCTTCATTGTATCTTGAGATATAAAAAACAAAACCAACCCACAGAAAATTGAATGTCTATTAAAGACGTCTATTAATAGTCTTTGTATTTGAAACTCTTTGAGGCTCCAAAGATTTGCCATCAAAGGGTAAAAAGAGAAAAAAAGTTCACTGGATGCATAAGAAGAGGTCATTTCTTGGCTTTAGGATGCAGTGTCATTTCCCTTTGGGGCCCCACCCATCGAGCAATGTGAATTCCCACCCTTCCTTTGGAGTGTGAAAGGCTAAGCAAAAAGAACTTGTTCTGCCCAGGATCTATCCAACAGGGTCACTGGATCGATTCACATTCATTCAGGCAAACAACAGTGGCAGTAGGGTTCCTTGCCAGGTAGCACTGTTATTTGAGAAATGTTAAAAGCAGAAAGATTCTCAGGCCAGAGATATAAATGTCACCAAGACAAACAGAGGACATGGACTAGGAAAAACATCCTTAATACCAGACATCCATCTGCTGAAGTCAAACGCTGCTGTCGCTCTTTTTAAAAAATTAAATAAATAATAAATAAATAAAAATCAAGAATCGACACTCCTCACCAGACGATTAAGTAGCAAAATACTCATTTTACATACACACACTCTCACAAGACTGCTTTTCCCACCCCACGATGAAAAGTCTGGCCCTATACAAGAGTAGACAGCATTGGACCTGACCAGCTCATCTGGAGAGTGGGGAGGAAGGATGGAGGGACGCGCCTCCGAGCCCAGCAAGTCTCCCCGACTCCCCAAGCAGCTGCAGGTCGGAGTCGCTCGATTGTTTCTAGGTTAAGGGGACAGACAGGGTGAAGCATTCTCTAAGCAGAAACTTCATACCCGGAACTCCGGGGAAACCCGTGGTCAGGGTCAGGTTAAATTTTGGGATAGTCGGGAACTGCAAGAAACTTAAGACGGACAAAGGGAATTAGAGCTTTTCGTGGAAAACCGAAGACCCCGGTGCCCCGCAAATGGTGAGGGTGCTGGTTGTGAGTTAGGAGCTATAGGTCAAGTGCTTCACCGCAAACTACACAAAGTCAGACCTTCACTCCAGACCCACGGAAAACTGGGATCTTAAGAGAAGAACAAGCGCCCAGGCGATTCCCCTCTCCCAGCCTGGACGCCCCGCGTTAAAGGAAAGGGGCTAGAGGAGGTCCCCGGCAGAGGAGTCACTGCCTCCAGGACGCCCGAACGCACGAGCCGCAGGGTCCTCTCCTCGGACGGGGGACGGGGGACGGGGGACGAGGTCCAAAGGAGACTGCACTCCAGTCCCCGGACCAGAGTAAAGCAACTCCGGAAAGTCCCCGGGCCGGCGCGCCTCCCTTGTCCGCTCCTCGGCGCCCGCAGCCCCCAGCCGCGCTGACCTGAGATGGTCTCCTGGTAGCCCTTGGTGAAGAACTGCATGGCCGTGGCCGCCCTCCAGGGCGTCTTGAGCAGCCCCTGCCGCTGGGGGTCCTCTCCCAGCGAGCGCAGGATGGACGAGTAGGCGGCCGCCAGGTTGGGGAGGTTCAGCTCGTTATCCTCCTCGCTGCGGGGCCGCTCGCCCTTCCAGCTGTCTGCCGGCTGCGCGCTCTTGGCCTCGCGTCGCGGGGGCTTCTCCTCCGGCCGGCTCGGCCCCGGCCGCGGCGGCTCCCGCTCGGGAAACCCATTGCTGCACCTGGCGCCCCGTGGCTTTTCCGCCAGCGCCCGCACCGGGCCCTTCTCCATGGACCTGTCGCTGCTGCTTGGGAGAGACGCTGAGGCGCTTCAAAGGGTGTAACAAAACTCTGCTGGCGGCCGCTGGCGGCTGGAGGAGGGCTAGGTAAGGGAACGCTCAGAGCCAAGAGCAGCCGGCGGCTGGGGTGCGAACCAGAGCTTCCTATTTATGGCCGTGCCGCGCCGAGGACGCCGCGACGTTCCCATTGGTCGGGGCCGCCTTGCGTCACGGCGGTCGCTCCGCCTCCTAGCCCCGCCCTGCGCCGGGCCCTCCACAGTGGACAGCTACTTAGGAGCGCGCCTCCGAGTCCGCACACGAGCTCCAGAGAGGCGGAGCGCCCGGACTGAGGTTTATCCCTCGCTGGCCCAGAGGATAGGGTGGACACTCGGGCTGTCACCGAGGGTACGGAATCCGAAAATGGCAGGTGTCTGGAGCTCCAATGGGGAACGTCCGGGCTAAGCGTCTGGACTGCAGGTCTCTAGAGCTCCAGCTGACCTGGGTTTAGAGTGAGTCGCTGGCGGGCCACCTCCTCTTGGGCCAAAGGAAGCGCCTTATCAGAAATAGGAGTGGCCTTTTCACCAGGGAAAGGAGCCAGTTAAGCAGTTAGTAAGGTAACCAATTCCTAAGTTTTTAAGGCAAGAAAATAATGTGACTTGAAGACCTGGAGTGATAATTATTACTACTGAGGTTCGCACAGTTTTATTAAAACGTGTTTAAAACATGTCTCAGTAATACACTTACCTTAGTCTCATTAGGGTGGCTTAAAAAAAAAACAACTGAGTTTGAAGTCCAAGCTAATATCAAATTTTTAACAAAACTCAAATGAACATCTTTCCAAGCCGTTGAAGTTTTACAACAGGTTTTTGGGAATACTATCACACACACAGAAAAAAAACCCCCACACAACCAAACAGTTTTTAGATGGCTCAAGTATTTTGAGAAAGATCAAAAAGGCTTCAAATATGAGCCAAGAAAGAGAAGACTATTTTGTTGTTGTTGTTAGGTGCCATCGAGTAGGTACGACACATAGCAACGTTATGCACAGCAGAACGAAACACTGCCCGATCCTGGGCCAACCTCACTACTGTTGCCACACTTGAATCCATCGGTGCTGCAACTTGGCCAATCCATCTCATTGGGGGTCTTCCTCTTTTTCTCTGACCCTCCAACTTACCAAGCATGATATCCTTCTCCAGTGACTGGTCCCTCCTGACAATATGTCAAAGTATGAGAGACAAAGTCAGGCCATCCTGGCCTCCGAGGAGCACTCTGGGTGCACTTCTTCCAAAACGGAACTATTGGTTCTTTTGTCAGTCTATGGCACTTTAAATATTCTCCTCCAACACCATAACTCAAAGGCATCAATTCTTCTATGGTCCAACTTTCGCATGCA